ATTTTTCCCAGTAAAAGTAGGCCTTAGACAAGGATGTGTGATGTCACCGTGGTTGTTTAATATATTTATAGATGGGGTTGTAAGAGAAGTAAATGTGAGGGTCTTGGCAAGAGGCGTGGAGTTAAAAGATAAAGAATCACACACAAAGTGGAGTTGTCACAGCTGCTCTTTGCTGATGACACTGTGCTCTTGGGAGTTCTGAAGAGAAATTGCAGAGATTGGTGGATGAATTTGGTAGGGTGTGCAAAAGAAGAAAATTAAAGGTAAATACAGGAAAGAGTAAGGTTTTGGGGATAACAAAAAAAATTATTTGATGAAAGATTGAATATCAGTTTGGGGGGAAAAGAGTATGGAGGAGGTAAACCGAAATTCAGATTTTGGGATGGACTGTCAGCGGAGGGGTCTATGAAAGATGAGGTGAATCATAGAATTGTTTGGGGAAAAAAAGAGTGAGGGTGCATTTAGGATCTGTGGAGACAAAGAAATTTGCCCTTTGGGAGGCAAAAAAGGGGAAGAGGGAAGTATATTTTTTAACCCAAACGCTTTTAAGGGGTTGAAGCGTGGGTAAATGAATGTTGCAGCGAAAAAGGAAAGGGGCGGGGGGGCCGGTTGGGGAAGAAATTTTAAAAATTTTTCCTGGGGGCCCAATTGTGTGGGGGGTTAATGAAGAAAATTTAAAAAATTTTTGGGAATTTAAGGGGGAGGGGGGGTTTACCCCCCCCCCCAACCCCCCCCCCCCCCCCCCCCCCCCCCCCGGGGAAAAAACCCCCCCCCCCAAAAAAATTTAAAGGGAAAGGGAAAGGGGCGGGGTGGGGGTTGGCCTGGGAAAAGGTTGGGGGGGGGGGTAAAGGGGGGTTTTTTGTGTGCGAGGGGTTTGGGGACTTCCGGGCGGGAAGGGGAGGGGGAGCTTTTTGGATAGGAGTGAATGGAGAAAAAGGTTTTTTAAAACTTGACGTGCTTTTTGGATGTAAAGCAAAGAACCATTTTTTAAAAGGGTTTCGGGGAAACCGTGGGCCCGGACTTAAAGTCCTGGAGAGGGGAATTTCAGTGCCTGCACTCTGAAGGAGGGTTTTTTAATGTTGCATTTTTTAAAAAACTGTAGTGAAAGCACCCTTCTGGAAAGACATTAATGGAGTGAATGATGGGAAAGTTTTTTTTTTTTGGGGCCCCCCACCCTGCCTTGGGGGGAATGGGCCCAAAGTGTGAAAATTAAATAATAAATAAATATATATATAAAATATATATAAATATAAAATATATATTTAAATAAATATATATAAATATATATATAATATATATATTATAATATAAAAATACATATATTTTAACATCAGGGGAAACCCCCGTTTTAAACATCACCTCCCAATGAAACCCCAATTATGAAAGTGTAATTTTTTAAAGTGCGTTTGAAACGTGTAGGGTTTATGGGGGTCCTGAAATGGACTAATCAACTTCACATTGCCTTTGAAAATTTTGGGGTTTAGTCACAAAAAGCGTTTGGGAAATTTTCACACTCTTTCACAGTACTTTTTTTTGGCAAAATTTTTTAAAATCACCTGTTTACTGTGATCTTTTTGCATATATATATATTTTATATATATATAAAATATAATAAAAAAAATATAAAAAATATATATATAACAGGGACCCCCGCTTAACGATATTAATCCGTTCATGAGAACTCATTGTTATGCAAAAATTATCGTTTCCCGAATAAATTTTTCCCCCATAAAAAATAAGGGAAAATAAAATTTAAAATCCGTGCAAGAAAACCCAAAAGTATGAAAAAAAAATTTTTACCACATGAAATAAACATTTTCCTACACACAAAAAAAGGATACATGCACAATATAGAGTAGACAGCACAGTATAAAATTGTGCAGTACTACTCACTAAATGAAGAATAAATACACTTCCCCTTTATTGAAGATAAAGCAGGGGACTGATGAACACTTTTGTCCTGGGAGTGCCTTTTTCCCCCTGAGTACTGTGGGGTCCTTTTTGGCATTTTTTTACCAGAACAGGCCTTATCACACTGTGTACCCTACGAACTTAATCTCCCCAAACCCAAACCCTTTGCGGGCTTTAAATTCCCCCAATATGAGCACTATTTCCCGGGCCCTTTTTTTTCCCCTGTTCACCGGGGGGGGGTGTTAGTCGACGGGTGGGGGTTTGCATCCGGGGAGAAAAAGTTTAAAGGGCCCCCAAGGAAAAAAATTTAGAAAAGCCCCGATAAATCACTAAATTTTCTTGGGGTTAAATCCTGGGTGGCAAAACCCCCCGGGTTTTTTAATCGTTTTTTTCCGGTAAGGGGTTTTCACTTAAGCCACACCAAAAACACTCTCTCCACATCTTCGAGTAAAACAGCGATGGGGGAGCAGAAAAACAACAACATTGGGTGCAGCTGACCATGGTGCGGGCGCAGCTTTTGGTGCAGCAACAGCTTTACCATTGTGCAGCTGTGGTGGGGAGCACAGCTGTGGTGCAGCAACAGCGACTGGGCCAATTTATCAGCTGAAAAGGGGGCAGCAGCAGCTGACTGTGGTACGATAGTAAATTTTCACCCCTTTTTTTCCACCGGGTTTTGGGACTAGAAGCTTTTTTTTTGGGGCCCCTGGTGGCTTATTTTGCAATTTCAAGCACTATAAATTTAAAGGAATAAAACTTTTTTGAATTGGTTTTGGCAAAACCCGGGCCCCCTGGGTTTTAAACAATGATGGCAAGGCAGGGCTCCCGGCTTTACGGACAGGTTCGGGACAGAAAACGGGAAAGAGTCATGTTCAAAACAGCTATGGTGGGAACAGCAGCTGAAACCCGGGGGGAGGGAGCAGCTATGATCCACAACAGCTGACTGGTCCAGCAAAAAGCTGACTGGTCCCCGCAACAGCCGACCGGGCCAGCAAAACTGACCATCCAGCAAGACTGACTGGTCCAGCAAAAAGCTGACTGGGTCCAGCAACAGCTGACTGATCCAGCAAAAGCGACTGACCAGCAACACTGACTGATCCCGCAAAAGCGACTGGTCCAGCAACAGTTTTCCCGATCCGCAACAGCTGACTGGTCCACAACAGATGACTGATCCCCGCAACACTGATTTATCCAGCAACAGCTGATCGTTGGGGCAGCAAACAGCTAACCCGAAACCAGCAACAGTGATCGTGGTGCCGCAGCCGCTGACTGATCCACAACAGCTGACTGGTCCACAACAGCTTATCGTGGTTTCAGCAGCAGCTGACTGGTCCAGCAACAGCCCATTGTGGTGCAGCACAGCTGACTGATTTTGCAACAGCTTACTGATCCAGCAACACTGACTGGTCCAGCAACAGCTGATCGAGGTGCAACAGCAGCCCAACTGATCCAAAAACAGCTGACTGGCAAGCAACACACCATGGTGCGGGACAGCTGACTGTGGGGGATGATAGTACAGGGGGGGGACCCCCGGGAAACGATCACCCCCGAATTTCGACCCAAATTTTGTAAGTGAAAATTTTGTAAGTGCGGTTGTAAGTTTTTTGGGTTTTGGGGGCCGAAATGGACTTTTTCTACTTCACAATAACCTTTGGGAAAAAATTCGGTCAGTACTGGCAAACCCGAACATACTTCGGGGGTGAAAAAAAATCGTTAACCGGGGGGCCACTGTATTTCTCACCCTTTTTTCCACTGGGTTAGCACTAGAGGCTTTCTTGGGGCCCATGGTCACTTATTTTGCAGATGAAATCACCAAAAACGCTGTAATAATACGAAATGTTCCGAATGTATGCTTGGATGTTACGCGGAGGCTGGCTTGTAAACAATGCCACCGCGGAACATGTGAAGCTGGCTCAGGCCGCACATTAGAAGCGTCTGGGACCAATAGCGTTGAGCGAGTTTTTTAGCGGTATGCGAGGCAAAATTTTTAGTGATAAAATGTATCGGTATGCGGAATTTAACGTTATGTGATGCCAACGGTATGCGAGGGTCCACTGTATACATTATATATATATATATATATATAATATATATAATATATATATAATATATATATTATATATATATATATATATATATATATATAATATAATGATATATATATATTATATATATATATATATATAATATATATATATATATATATATATATATATATATATATATATATATATATATATACAGTGGACCCCCGCATAGCGACTTTAATCCGTGCAAGAGGGCTGACTGTTATGCGAAATGTTCGGTATGCGAATGAATTTTCCCCCCATAAGAAATAATGGAAATCAAATTAATCCGTGCAGGACACCCAAAAGTATGAAAAAAAAAATTTCCCACATGAAATATACATTTTCCTACACACAAAGAGAAGGATACATGCACAATAGTAGAGTAGTACATGCACAATATATATTGTGCATGTACTACTCTACTAAATGAAGAATAAATGACACTTACCTTTATTGAAGATGCAGCAATGACTGATGAGACACTGTGTCCTGGGAGTGCCTTTCCTCCTGAGTACTGTAGGTCCTGTTTGGCATTTTCTTCCAGAACAGGCCTTATCACACTGTGTATGCCACTATAATTCTTAAATCTCTCAAACCAACCTTTGCTGGCTTTAAATTCACCAATATGAGCACTAGTTCCAGGCATTTTTCCCTGTTCACCTGGGTGTTAGTCGACTGGTGTGGGTTGCATCCTGGGAGACAAGATTAAGGACCCCAATGGAAATAAGTTAGACAGTCTTCGATGACACTGACTTTTTTGGGTTATCCTGGGTGGGAAATCCTCTGGGGTTAATTGTTTCTTGGTATTCTCAATAAGCCACACCAACAACGGTGGCTACAGCAGCACAGCAGCTGACGGTGGTACAGCAGCAACAGACGATGCTACAGCAGCAACAGACGATGCTACAGCAGCAGCAGACGATGCTACAGCAGCAGCAGACGATGCTACAGCAGCAGCAGACGATGCTACAGCAGCAGCAGACGGCACTACAGCAGCAGCAGCAGCTGACGGTGGTACAACAGCAGCAGCAGCTGACAGTGCAGCAGCAGCTGACAGTGCAGCAGCAGCTGACAGTGCAGCAGTAGCTGACAGTGCAGCAGCAGCTGACGGTGGTACAGCAGCAGCTGTACCACCAATAGTAGCGATGGTTGATTGGGGTTTTGTGTACAACCTGGCCAGCTCGGAGACACGCACTCCACTTTCATACTTATCAATGATCTTTTTCTTCATCTCTATAGTAATTCTCACCCTTATTGCTGTAGGGTTGGCACTAGAAGCTTTCTTGGGGCCCATGGTCACTTATTTTCCAGAAAAAATCACCAAAAACACTGTAATAATACGAAATGTTCCGATTGAAATGCTTGGATGTTACCGCGGGAGGCGGGCTGGTAAACAATGCCACCGGCGGAACATGTGACGTGGCTCAGGCCGCACATTGGACGCGTCTCGGACGAAGGGGGGTGAGCGGGTTTTTGGGCGGTATGCGAGGCAAAATTTTTGCGAAAAAAGCGAGCGGTATGCGGATTGTACGGTATGCGATGCGTGCGGTATGCGGGGTCCACTGTATATTTTATATATATATATATATATATATATAATATATATATATATATATATATATATATATATATAATATATATATATAATATATATATATATATATATATATATATATATATATATATATAAATATATATATAATATATATAATATATATATATATATATATATATATAAAATATATATATATAAATATATATAATATATATATAATATATAATATATATATACTATATATATATACGTACGTGCATGCATGTACATGTGTGTGAATGAACAAATGCTTAACAAATTGCAAACAAGCAAAATTATGAGAAGCAATCAGATTTGATCTAAGGAAGGGGAGGTCTGGTCCAATTATTTAGATCATGAGCCCCACAAGTCTTAATATTTCCATAGGTGTAGATAGCTTGCTTATATTTTAAAAAATAACATCTGATCTCTCATGAGGGCCTTAACAGCTTTAATTACAAAATTTAGATAGTTTTTGCCTAATGCAAGTTAATTCCTTCCTCAAAGCTTATGGCTAAAGTGATGGCAAGTTTGACCCACATCTGAAGGACCTGGGTTTTAGCCTGGCATAAGTGTAAAAAAGCTCAACATATGTTCCTACACCTGTTGTCTCTTGTTACCTAGCAGTAATTAGGTAATGTACCTGGGTGCTAGCTGACTAGTGTGCATCACATCCTGGGGAAGATCAAAGCATGCCAATAGAAATACAGTGGATCCCAGACTTACGATGGCCTCAACCTACGATAAAACCGGCTTACGATGCTTGTCAGCGTAAAAATTTGACCCCGACCTACGTTGAAAAACTCTACTTACATCATTTGTCCCGAACGCGGCCGTCTGGTCAGTCTGGCCTGAGCGCCTCAGCTGAGCTAGTGTGACATTGTTTACAAGCCAGGGCGGATGGTTGCACGTATACATTCGATAAATTTTGTATTATTCCAGTGTTTTTAGTGCTTGTAACTGCTAAATAAGCCACCATGGGCCAAAAGAAAGCTTCTAGTGCCAACCCTGTGGTAAAAAGGGTGAGAAATGCTACCAAAATACTATCGTACCACGGTCAGCTGCTGCTGCACCACAGTCAGCTGTACTACTCGAAGATGTGGAGAGACTGTTGTTGGAATGGATTATCGAGAATATGTACTGAGAAACAATTAACCCCAGAGGGTTAGCCACCCAGGATAACCCAAGAAAGTCAGTGTGTCATCGAGGACTGTCTAATTTATTTCCATTGGGGTCCTTAATCTTGTCCCCAATTATGCGACCCACACCAGTCGACTAACACCCAGATGAACAGGAAAAAATGCCTGGAACTAGTGCTCATATCGGTGAACTTAAGGCCAGCAGAGGTTGGTTTGAGAGATTTAAGAATCGTAGTGGCATAGTGTGATAAGGCCTGTTCTGGAAGAAAATGCCAAACAGGACCTACATTACTCAGGAAGAAAAGGCACTCCCAGGACACAGTGTCTCATCACTCATCACCACATCTTCAATAAAGGAAAGTGTCATTTATTCTTCCTTTAGTACACTAGTACATGCACAATATACAGTGGACCCCCGGTTAACGATATTTTTTCACTCCAGAAGTATGTTCAGGTGCCAGTACTGACCGAATTTGTTCCCATAAGGAATATTGTGAAGTAGATTAGTCCATTTCAGACCCCCATACATACACGTACAAACGCACTTACATAATTGGTCTCATTCGGAGGTAATCGTTATGCGGGGTCCACTGTATATTGTGCATGTATCCTTCTTTTTGAACATAAGAACATAAGAAAGGAGGAACACTGCAGGAGGCCTGCTGGCCCATACTAGGCAGGTCCTTTACAATTCATCTCACTAACAAAACATTTGTCCAACCCAATTTTCAATGCCACCCAAGAAATAAGCTCTGATGTGAAAGTCCCACTCAAATCCAACCCCTCCCACTCATGTACTTATCCAACCTAGATTTGAAACTACCCAAAGTCCCAGCCTCAATAACCCAACTAGGTAGACTGTTCCACTCATCAACTACCCTATTTCCAAACCAATACTTTCCTATGTCCTTTCTAAATCTAAACTTATCTAATTTAAATCCATTACTGCGGGTTCTCTCTTGGAGAGACATCCTCAAGACCTTATTAATATCCCCTTTATTAATACCTATCTTCCACTTATACTTTCGATCAGGTCTCCCCTCATTCTTCGTCTAACAAGTGAATGTAACTTAAGAGTCTTCAATCTTTCTTCATAAGGAAGATTTCTAATGCTATTATTAATTTAGTCATCCTACGCTGAATGTTTTCTAACGAATTTATGTCCATTTTGTAATACGGAGACCAGAACTGAGCTGCATAATCTAGGTGAGGCCTTACTAATGATGTATAAAAGCTGCAGTATGACCTCTGGACTTCTGTTGCTTACACTTCTTGATATAAATCCCAGTAATCTATTTGCCTTATTACGTACGCTTAGGCATTGCTGTCTTGGTTTAAGGTTGCTGCTCACCATAACCCCCAAGTCCTTTTCGCAATCTGTATGGCTAAGTTCTACATCATTTAACTTATAAGTACTAGGGTTATGGGCACTCCCAAGCTTCAGAACCTTGCATTTATCTACATTGAACTGCATCTGCCACTTTTCTGACCAAGAATAGAGTTTGTTTAAATCCTCCTGAAGTTCCATAACATCTACGTTTGAATCATTTATCCTACCTATCTTTGCATCATCGGCGAATTTGCTCATATCACTAGTAATTCCCTCATCAAGATCATTGATATATATTATAAACAACAACGGGCCCAAGACTGATCCCTGTGGAACGCCACTTGTTACAGATCCCCACTCGGATTTAACCCCATTTTTTGGACACTCTCTGCTTCCTGTCAGTGAGCCATGACTCGATCCACGAGAGCACTTTTCCCCCAATGCCATGAGCTGCCACTTTCTTTAACAGTCTATGGTGCGGAACTCTATCAAAAGCCTTACTAAAATCTAAGTAAATAATATCAAATTCTTTATTGTGGTCAACAGCCTCAAAAGCTTTACTGAAGAAAGTTAATAAATTAGTTAGACAAGACCGGCCTCTTGTGAATCCATGCTGAGTATCATTAATAAAGCTATGCTTATCGAGATGGCTTCTTATAATCTCAGCTATAATTGACTCTAGTAATTTGCCTACAATTGAGGTCAGGCTTTTTTGGGCGGTAAATTTGACGGTAACGACTTGTCCCTTTTTTAAAAATAGGAATTACATTAGCCATCTTCCACATATCAGACACTACACCTGTTTGAAGAGAAAAATTTAAAAAAATATTAGTTAATGGTTCACAGAGTTCCATTTTGCATTCCTTAAGAACCCTTGAAAAAACCTCATCAGGACCCGGCGACTTATTTTGCTTCAGTCTGTCTATCTGCTTCACAACCATTTCACTAGTGACTGTGATGTTACATAATTTATCTTCTAGCCCACTGTAAAAATTAATTACTGGAATATTGTTAGTGTCTTCCTGTGTAAAAACTGAGAGAAAATAATTATTTAAAATCAAGCACATTTCATTCTCTTTGTCAGTAAGGTGCCCATAGTTATTTTTAACCCTTTGAGGGTCGACAGGCCCTCTCCGAAACTCGTTCTCAGGGTCGGCCAAATTTAAAAAAAAAAAAAATTATTTTATCTTATGAAAAGATAGAGAATCTTTTCCCGATCATAAAGACACCAAAAGTTTGAAATTTGATAGAAAACTTACGGAATAATGCTCTCGCAAAGTTAGCGGTCTCGGCGATGTTTACGCATCGGCGATTTTGCCCACTTTGAGCCCCATTTTCAGCCAATTTCACTGTAGTAGACGACAAAAAACATGAATATTTCGCTAGAACTCCATTTTTTTCTATCGAATGCGTGCAAGAAACCACCCCTTTATGAAATTCAACTATCTAGTACAGTGGTCAGAATTTAGCAATTTTGCCAATTTCACACAAATTTCCAAAAGATGCCAATTTCCGAATAGGGTCCAGAATAAACAAAAAGACATTCCTGGCACTAAATGACATTTCCCCTAGTCATTAGTCACGTCTCAGGCCCCTCTTATATTCTTTTGCTTTCCACTTTGAATTTTTATTCTCAAAAAAAAATATAAGATTTACTGTTATGCAGACTACTGCATTAGTGTAAAAAATGGTATAAATATTATTGGTGCACTTGTGAAAGAATATTAGACTCACCAGTTGACGTGTATTGCACGCTTGGCACGATTTGTTTTACTTTTGAAGTTTGGTAAAAATCGAACATTTCTGCTACTTTGAGCTCAATTTCAAGGCACCTTTCATTGTAAAACAAGTCAAAATCATCTCAATTTCTGTAATATGTCTTCCATTCTATAAAATGAGACCAAGAAAACTAGAATACAACAATAAATACCATACGAAAATACACTGCAAAGTCGCTGATTTATTCCAAAAAAATGGTCAAAGTTTTTTTTTTCTCATAATGCACTGTGTGCTGCAGGATTTTTTTTAGACTGTGCACACTGACCACATAGATCCATTCTTTCATATGAAGGCCTACCAGCTTTCTCCCACTAGATTTGAGGCCGCTAGAATTTATGCGTACTAGTACGTCAAAAACCCCTACGAGTAAGACGTACTAGTACGACCAAAACCCTCAAAGGGTTAAGGGGACCTATCTTATCTCTAACTTTTGTTCTATAGACCTGGAAAAAACTTTTTGGGTTAGTTTTAGAATCCCTAGCAACTTTAATTTCATAGTCCCTTTTAGCTTTTCTTATCC